ATATGAAAGGAAGGGCATTTCACTAGATGAAGTATATAAAAGGGCGAGTGCGCTTATTGCAGCCTTAGCAGCATCTTTGGCGGTTCTTAAAGAAAAAAGAACTAAGTTTAACAATTTAAGGAAAAAGTAGAAGGAGAATTTTTCAGAGATTAATATACACGGGAGAAATTTCAAGTTTTTTCAAGTTTCTTGCGACAGGAGGAGCAAATCGGCTATATAAAGTTGAACTGAACGCTAAGGTACTTTTAAGTCTCACTAATTTTTACAAAACCAGAGACATGTTTTAAACACTGTTTAAGTTCAAAAAAATTATTTTTATTGCAAGAATGAAATACTTTTCATACACGCGAACGACACCTCGACCACAATCACTCCTAGCCTCGTCCCCAGGACATTCTTCTTAGAAAATGGAAGGGGCCGGAAAGCCCTGGGGATGAGGTTGAATCCTGACTCCGTGTAGAAAGTTATTTTTTTCCCATTTATAATGCTCTTCAAACAATCATCAGAAAACTATCTTTTACAACACACGGACTAACCGGTATGTATAGTATTTTAAAAGTAAGAATTGATTAGGGCAAGATACACGGCTGTCAAAAAAATAGAAATAACAAAAACTATCTTTGCAAGCTCAAATAAACTGGAAACGAACTTCAGAAAACATCGCAAGATAAAATGTTAAATAGAGAAATTAGAATATCTCTGTACGTTAAGAAAATTTTTTGCATGAAGAAGAAAAAAGAATGATACTTACGTGATGGAACAAAACTTTGACTTATTTCGCTGGCTATCTGGAAATTCACGACATGTCTTCCTGCCACAGAAGTTATTTTGCCAGTATGATCCAGAGTGTGACCGGGGTATTGACAAGACCTTAGGCTCGATTTCCGCCGTCTCCCCGTCCGTTGGGTTTCATTTTCCAGAGCAGCGGCTTATAATCGAGCCTAACAAGACCTTTGCGTCCGCAAAAACCTGCCAAAAACCTGTGCCTTGCGCAGATTGTCATTTTAGTGTTAGCCTGTGTACACACTACCCCCGCCCCCAACCCCTCCTCGGAGAAGGGGCCCCTTCTCCGATTTTTCCTGAGGGGAGGGGGGTCTGTACACAGGCTATTTAGTGTCTGTGCCTTGGGCAGATTGTCATTTCAGTTCCGAATACCCACCAAGCCTCGAATACGTACTCTCGCTAAAATGAGTTCATTTTCATTGTCTTTGCTACACTTGCTACACTTTGACAAGTGACAGCTGGCTAAGTGCGATGTAATATCATCCATCCTCTGTGACCAACACATTTTCCTCCACACCCCTACTGGGACCTCACTCTGTCTACGATCTCGCGGAAGAACTGCTTGATGAAATAGCCGAAAAAGCCATTTTTCACAATTGATCTCTTCGGCGATTTTATTGACATAATAATATTTGAAACTGGCACCTGTTGCATTATGTAATTCAATCAGATTGAAACTAAAACAAGATCATGGTTGGAATTCGGATGTTATACCCTAACAAAAACTAAAAAGATATTCCCTTTTGCGTTTATTCACTGAAAAAAGGAACTATTTTTCCCGTTTCATTCTGCTACCGATAAACGCTTTAAAGATCTTTCCATGAAACTGAAATTTACTGCTAATTTAAGATAGAAAAAGTGTGGGGCATTTTTTTTTTATCATAGTGCCATGTACAAAGATCTACCTTCTCCTGATGAGCAAATATCATAATAAAGCTTTCGACGTTAACGCTATTTTTAAAGGCACACAAAAAAGAGTGCCCAAAAATTTTCGTGTGCTGACAAGAGGACTTACCTTGCAAGTGAACTCTTATTTTTTATTATTATCAATAACTATCATTTAAAAAAAGATGATAATATTATAGAATTGATCGACACAACGCTATTGTTTTCTAATCGACCACCCCTCTTTTGGAATGCGTGACAGGCGACAATAGTATAATTGAATTATTTTAAGCCACGCAAACATATATCATGATATATTATTCAGCTGCTTCTTCCTGGTTAAAAAAAAAAAAAACAGAGCTTAAGGGGATTTTAAGGCACGTTTTGTGTTTTTCTGTGGAAAGGAGAGTTATTTTTCCCCTTAGAAATGTGAAATGTAAGGATTATATTTCCTGTCAATTTGTTGAAACAACCCTACAAGGTAATTTGCATACGAAGACTGAAGTCACGTTCATCGTCGACAAGAAAAAGACCCAAGGAAAAGCGATTACTAAGTTTTCTCCACATGTTTTCAAACGTCCAACATTTAAAAGGTCTAATGACATTTAGTGATACCTAGAAACGTTAAAACTGTGGAAATTAGTCGATCAAATGCGGACCGTTACAATTCCAGCTTTGCTGTCAAAATGGCGAATTTTGTAACATTAACGGAACTTCGTACAGCGCGCAGAGAAGAGTGCCCACAAATTTTATTGCATTAAGAAGTAGACTGGTCTTAGTACTTCTGATTTATCATAGACTTGAGTCTGGGTCAGGTGCCACTTTTGCGAAATTACCGTTCAGCTCTAGTTATGCAAATTACTTTTCCTGCTGAGCAAATTAAAGGTCATTTTAAAAAAATCATATCTCAGCCAACTTTCCACAGAATGCAACCATTAAACCTTGAAACTATTAATCAGAGTTAAAACGTTTGTGTGTAAAATAATCAGTTTATTCGACTGGGTAAAATAGGTTTGACAGAGCCCTAAAGTTTCACCAAAATCGCACCACTTCCGACAGCAAACTGGCTAGTTTTAGGTGACCTAGAAAATCTTCCTCTAAAATAGAGAAAAGCTTGAGTTGGTCCAAATAAATATGATATTTCTTCATGTGATAGGATAGTTATCTTCCACTGAAAAAATCAGGGCAATCCGTGATGGACCGAAATTTGCTTTATCGGTTCTTGCGCGGACACCCTCTTAAGTCCTTTTTTAGAGATCCGACTCTGATTGAACTTTTAAGAGCCACTCTCCCTAACCACCGCGTGAGGGGTGGCACAAGGTCGGAAAAATGGACCCCTTGATATTTCGTCCAGAGATAACCTATGGTATGCTAAGAATCGTGATATAAGTCTTAGGTTCTAGAGTTTTTACATTTTTGAGAAAATTACGAAAAACCGTCAACAACCCGTGACGCCGAAAAATCACAGAAATGAGGTCAAATTTCATGATCAGATAATCGAACTCGCGTGAAGGCGCATAGCAAATTATGGTTTTCCTTAGTTTATAATTTTATTTAGGAGGTATTACTGAGCTGCTTTGATGATATTTTAGACTTACAATTGTAATTCCGAATTCCTGCAGAGCAAGCGAAGAGAACGGAAATTTCTAGACTTTGAAAATCAAAAATTCCATACCGTTTTCAAACATCTCAAAACATACTCGGTATTATGTAGAATTCTTTCAAAATTCAATTCTAGCAAGTAGAAGAGCTGTTTTTGAACGTGATATAATTTTTTTCTTGGCAAAAGCTATTTCCGAGGCGAGCGGCCCCATGCAAGTTGACCCAATTTGACCTTTCGAAGAGATTTTGTTTAACCAGGAAATGCAAACAATTCGACTAGCCTTAGCTCGCTTTCTGAGCAAACCATTGAAAAACCCTGCTATTTCCCATTAAATTACCCAGTAACCCTGAGATAATACTTCGATGACAGCTTACCTTCCAAATGGGTGTTTGAAGGCAAATAATTTTGATGTTCTTTACTAATTTTCCTGTGTCTTGCTGCCGCGCTCAGCCACCGGCCTTTTCATACGGCTACGGCATTTTCTAAGTGTCACCTTTCTCTGGCTTGTGCAACATTTTCGCAGGACCTGGATGCATGTCTTGCATATAAGCATCCTCTGGGTATCTATTGAGTTTTGTATTGAATATTTCTAATGAAAAGAAGCAAGAAGTGAAGGAACGAATTGAACTGAAAAATAGACCCAGATCAATGTCACGCAATATTTACATCTAGGTGATCACGTGCCGCAAATACATCCGCGTGGATATTTTTGTCTTGCTCTTGCTCATTTCTTCATTTTCTTCCTTACTAGCATACAATGTTTTCGTTTTGGTTTTTTGTAACTTTCTTATTTGTAATCACAAGCCTATTTCGAAAGAGAGTCCTTTGTAGCATTACTTTGGGTGTTTATACACGCATCACATTTACTTTTCCCATTTTCTAGTGACTGTGCAACAAACTAGGAATCCTATCTAGTTTTAGCTCCAAAAGTCAGATGCCTGGGCAGTTCCATTGTTAATGATTTCCTAAAGCTAGATAAAAGGAAATAGTAATATATATCTGAAAAAGGGCTAGTTATTGGCCGCAAAGCGAGTTTTTGTAATTTGTATCAATTGCATTTACCAATTTGCCCATGGCAGGTTAACACGCAAATAGGTCCCCTTCGTGGCGCATCTAACTTTTTAGGAATTATGTTCAACAAGATACCTTTTGACGCAGAAGTAGACGCACGCTTTTATATGATTCTCGAAATTATCTCTTTGAAAACTGAAAATGATTTGCTTTCGGGTTCGCACAAGACATGTTTCTTTTCGTAACACTGTTTTGAGAGTTTCCATGGAGAGAGATCTAATTTTAAAACAGATAATTACCAAACGCAAGTAGATCTGTGGCAAACGGTTTGTTTACCTCTAAAAACGTTCTAAATATAGAATTCTCGCGGCGTTCGAGCTGTGATCTTTTAAAATCGAACTTTTCGATCGCTCGCCCGATAAGCGAAGCTAGCACGTGCGAGGCTCCTAACTTTTTGTTAAATACGGCAAATCTTATTACGCGGATTAAAATCTTTACAACTTTACAAAGATACTAAAGAGTATGTGCAGGAAAATGAGTTTAGGTCTTTTGAGGTGTATTGTGTAACCTTGAGCGCTCACTTTGTCCAAAAGAAAAAAAAAACAATTTGAAATCAAACATTATTTACAATTCGGCATCCCGAGTAATTAGCACGCATGTGTTTACTTCTGCCGAAATTGAGTCATTTGCTCTGCGTCATCGGTTGAAAAATTGGAAGATGGAGAGAAATTGCTCGTTTCAGCGGCTAGTTGGTGGCCAATGCGGTCAAGACCCTCGAAGCACTAAAGTCCAAGATTTAGTTCCCTTGCTAACTTGTAACAAAGACGTATCACGCCACAAAAGCTCTCTAGGGCTGATGACCGGCCACGGTGTAGACACTGAAGTGGAACTGATTCTAGCAAGGTCTTCAATTTTCAGTTTCCCTTCCAATATTTCTGACATGGATATTTGTCCCGCTCATCGTTCTTTGCTGGGCATTGGGTGGCGAAGGGGTTTGGCGCGTTGCCGTATACCAGCCCAGCTGTCGAAGCACGTCCGCAAATCCTGTACTACGGATCGTGGAATCAATAAAGCCATCTCCGGATTAATCTTGCGTATTACTGGGATATTTCTTCCAGTCGGCTCTGGTAAGTATCCATTCGAATAAAATCTATAGACTGCAGTGCTACATTACATTTCACAAAAGCCAAGTCACATTCGAAAGAGCAATGCTCAACACTAAAATTGAATCATTATTCAATATTTATTATTGTTTTATCTTTTTTTAAGGAATATGTAGTGAATGTAGGATAACTCTTGGAGAACAGGTCAGAGCCGATTGCCAAGACCCACAACTTATTGCCCTTTCAGAGAGTATTCATGAGCTTTCTTTCGTAAGTTCTAGCTGTTTTGGGAGTTTCGCACATACCACTGATTTTATATGTAACTATACACAGGATCTAAGTCTGAATTTCATTAAGTTACCATAAAACTCTGATTCTCCATCGCCCTTTTTTAATCAGACCCCCTAATTATACTTAGTGAAGCTGTTGTTATGGTTGTTTCTAAAGATTTTCAATCATTTATGCCGCGCCTTGTTTTCTATATACCGTAAATCCTCTATTAAGCCCCCGGGGGGGCTTATTTTTTCACACACTTTTGAGGGGGGGCTTATTTAATTTAGCGAAACGCATCACCAGTAGCAAAAATACCGTGGTATGAGACAGGGTAGACTTACGCGTTGTACAATTAAAGTCACTGTCAAAAGTATTTAATTCACTTGTGGGAGCCTAAAAGTAACAAAAACAAAATTCTTATTCTTCAAAAATGTGCGTGCGGCCTCATGTTCTTTGGTAATTTTTATGAATAAACCATAACTGATCAGTCCACGTTAATCGTTAATTTTTTTTGTGAAGAATAAGGATTGGGGGAGGGGAAGGGGGTGCTTAATAGAGAGGGGGGCTCATTAACTTTCCTCCTCTGAAAAGGGGGAGCTTATTAGAGAGGGAGGGGGAGCTTAATAGAGGATTTTCGGTATCAAAATGGAAAAGCCTCATGAACCGTGCGTAATATAACAGTTGACGTTGCTGTTCTAGGCTGAGGAGACGACTCGTACTCGTCCTGAACACAGTACCCCAGCTACTCCAGGAGGAAGCTTCTATTTACCACCTAGCGACGACTCGTCCTCCTCTGAGGAGATCTCCTTTGACAGCACACCAGCTACAACAAAGCGCGAACCAAAGTCCAAGACCACTGAGCCACTCAATGATTGTTTGCGCACTCGAGGAATCAGTCCCATTCGTTCTCGGCTACAGCGGCCTTGGGAAGAAGCAAGTAAAAGAACACGACGCTACTACGTGCGGAAGGCAGGTCAAGGTCTATCTACACTTTTACAAGACATAGCTCCAAGTGATAGTGGTTCTCTCTTCACGGCAGTCTATTCCTCTGGTGTCATACAAAGAACCTTACAATGTAACGGAGAAGAAGCCACAAGCAGTTCAGTCAACAAAACCATGATGAGCGCACTCGCCGAGTGCTACCGCGCAGCCGACAGCTGGGAGACGCGTCGGTAAGTCCTGTCCATTATGGCTGATAAGTTGACACTGAATCAGCTGCGACACTGGATACCCGATTTATCTCAGTATCGTTTCAATGAGGCCAGACGCCACTGCTTAGTATATGGAAGGGGGGAACCGGTGCTAACAGTTCCGACGCCAAGGATGAGAGTAATCCACCGCTCAAATCGACCACTTCATAGCGTTCATCACTAGTCCCCATGTTATCGACGACGGAGACTATCAAGGTTCCAAACGTCATACGGATGATTATCCCAGAGCGAATAGTCATCCAGTATATGACTTACTGCCAAGAGTCTGGGTTCACGCCACTAAGCCGCGCTACTCTTCTGCGGATTTTGAGCACGTGCGCTGCGTCTGTTCGGACATCGGTTCAAGGTCTCGATTATGTTAGTTCTGCAGGTGCGGGAGCAATTGACGATCTGTGTGATGTTGTTGAAACCCTTGAGATGTAGGACAAGGCATGGGGTGGGCGAAACAGCAGGAAAATAATCTACGCGCAAGCAAGCGGTACCTTAAAAGCGACTTTAAGGTGGGTGTGACCCCCGCTAGGCAGATCCCTCCACCTCGCTATGTCACTCGCCCCAGATCTTTGTCTTGTGCGTCCAATATGGCGTCTGCGATCACACACTCCGGGTTTTTCGCTTTAAAAAAACACCCTCTACCACTTGCTAGCAGTTAATCGAAATACCATTAAATAGCATCACTTCCATTGTGTTATTTTGTTCAGTTGGCGCTATTTACCGCTACATATTTGTCAGTTTCATGGTTCTACTGTCCGGCACTCAAAGGCTGATTACTACAAAGGACTAACTCAATAACCGTGCCAGTCGGTCCGTACGGAACATATGATAACAACATGTTAGAACGGATTTCACTTGACTGCTGTAGAACAAACCGCAACTAACCGCAGCCAAACAGGAGAGGAACCCATTAAACAACAAATCACCAGGAGGCGAAGTATGTCTGACTTGCGTTTAGTAGTGACATGATTAAACGTGCGTTCGGGTTTAGTTCGCCATTTGATTGGCTCACTGACAACAGACCAAGCCCCTCAATCAATAGGAAAATGAAGTGAACGCAAGTCTGACAGTCATGTGAAATCTTCTCTATCTTCCTACTTAGTTCTCTTTAAAGCAGCGCTTCTTAATTAT